GGGGGGTGGGCGGCCTCATGAACTCCTTCCCGCCACCTCAGGGTCACGCCCAGAACCCCCTGCAGGTCGGGGCTGAGCTCCAGTCCCGCTTCTTTGCCTCCCAGGGCTGCGCCCAGAGTCCATTCCAGGTGAGTAGGGGCCGGGCCGGGCGGGCAGGCGCCGACCAGCGACCGCGGCCCACACGGCGCCTTGTCTCTGCAGGCCGCACCGGCGCCCCCACCCACGCCCCAGGCCCCGGCGGCCGAGCCCCTCCAAGTGGACTTGCTCCCGGTTCTCGCCGCTGCGCAGGAATCGGCCGCGGCGGCTGCAGCCGCGGCGGCGGCCGCCGCTGCAGTGGTTACTGCACCCCCAGCCCCTGCTGCCGCCTCCACCGTGGACACAGCGGCCCTGAAGCAGCCTCCGGCGCCTCCTCCGCCACCCCCTGCCGTCTCCGCACCCGCCGCCGAAGCCGCGCCCCCCGCCGCGGCCGCCACCATCGCCGCTGCTGCCGCGGCAGCCACCGCAGTCGTCGCCCCAACCTCTACAGTCGCTGTGGCCCCTGTTGCATCTGTCTTGGAGAAGAAGACAAAGAGCAAGGGGCCCTACATTTGCGCCCTGTGCGCCAAGGAGTTCAAGAACGGCTACAACCTCCGGAGGCACGAAGCCATCCACACAGGAGCCAAGGCTGGCCGGGTCCCTTCGGGTGCTATGAAGATGCCCACCATGGTGCCCCTGAGCCTCTTGAGCGTGCCCCAGCTGAGCGGGGCCAGCGGGGGAGGGGGAGAAGCCGGGGCTGGCGGAGGCACAGCCGCCGTGGCGCCCGGTGGCGTTGTGACCACGACTGCCTCTGGAAAGCGCATCCGGAAGAATCACGCCTGCGAGATGTGCGGCAAGGCCTTCCGCGACGTCTACCACCTGAACCGACATAAGCTGTCGCACTCGGACGAGAAGCCCTACCAGTGCCCTGTGTGCCAGCAGCGCTTCAAGCGCAAGGACCGCATGAGTTACCACGTGCGCTCACATGACGGCGCTGTGCACAAGCCCTACAACTGCTCCCACTGTGGCAAGAGCTTCTCCCGGTGTGCAGGGGCCTCGGCTGCCCACTAGGCCGATGGTGGGGGGAGGGCAACGAGGGGGCCTGTCTTTGCCTAGTGGGGAGGCGGCTCCCGATGCTAGGGACGGGAACCACTCCCAGGGAGGAGGGAAGTGAGCCTCGTGGTTACTGGGAGCAGGGGGTGGTACTTTACAGGAGGTGGGTCCTTGAGCTGAAGGAAAGCTGCCTCCGGGCCGAGATGGAATCCCGGCTTGAGGGATTTCCTGCCTAAGGACCGAAGCTCTGGGGGAAAACGCTGGGGCTTTTGGAAAGGCACTTTGGAGGAAGCTAGACAGATTTGAGACACACCTCACCTTGGAACCTTAGCCCTAACCCCCCTCCCCCACCTCAACATATCCCTAGGCCGGATCACCTCAACAGTCACGTCAGACAAGTGCACTCAACAGAGCGGCCCTTCAAATGTGAGGTAGGAAGCCCGCTGCCTCCTGTCCTGGTGTTCATGATTTTGATCCTCACTGTAGCTGTCTGAGTTCAACCTCTCAGACCCCCTTTTTCTCTCTCTTTTTGCCTTTTCACTCCATTTTCGCATTTCTCCTTCAAGGCCTGGTCATCTCACGCCCATTTCCTACAGATCAAAGACCCCCAAGGCTCTGATCCCTTTATCTTGCTCCCTTCTCTCTACTCCCCGAAGCTTTAACTCTCCTGTGACCCCCCCACGCCCTCCCCCCCAGAAATGTGAGGCAGCTTTTGCTACGAAGGATCGACTCCGGGCGCACACAGTACGACACGAGGAGAAGGTGCCATGTCATGTGTGTGGCAAGATGCTGAGCTCGGCTTATATTTCGGACCACATGAAGGTGCACAGCCAAGGCCCTCACCATGTCTGTGAGCTCTGCAACAAAGGTACATGCTAAGGGATGGCAGGAGGGCAGGGACAAAGTGGGGTGGGTGGGCACGAAGCTGGTGTGGTCACAGGTGGGGGGTTAAGGGCGCTGTAGCCAAGAGCTCGTGGCATGTAGAAGAGCACTGTAAGAACTAACGGAGCTCGCTAAATTCTGTGCCCAGAGTCCCTCCTGGGTGCGCCTGGGGAGAATGAAGTGGGAGGGCTCAAGAAAACCAGTCCCCCAAGGTTTCAACTTCGCAGCCACAAGTTCTTGTCTCCAGCTCCTGGGGCAGGTGGAGCACAGCAGCACGGGTGTAGCACACACCCTGCCCAGTAGCAGAGAGAGCTGTTTTCAGTGTGGGTAGTTCACTAAATGAGCTGAGACGGGGCACTGGAGAGGGGGGACACAGCCGTCTCTACTGAGAGTCAACCCTTCAAAAAGCTAGGCAACAGTGTCCTGTCGAATGGGAGGTTTCCTGGCTATGGGGGAAGATCTCTGTAGAATACTGCTAAGGATCAAGGAACAGGCACCTTTCAAACCAGGCCCCAAGCTCAGGGAAGGGCTATGTCCCAGTGGAGTAGTTGGCCCCAGCCTACCAAGGATGTGGTGGGAGGAGGACAGTGCCACGTGAGGAGGGTGTCCCCAGCCTAGGAGAACAGCCCTGTCTCTGGGGTCTCCACCAGGCTGACCCCCACCCCCCATCCCAACCCCCCCCATAGGCTTCACCACAGCAGCATACCTGCGCATCCACGCGGTGAAGGACCATGGGCTCCAGGCCCCGCGGGCTGACCGCATCCTGTGCAAACTGTGCAGCGTGCACTGCAAGACCCCTGCCCAGCTGGCCGGCCACATGCAGACCCATCTGGGGGGGGCCGCCCCTCCTATCCCGGGAGATGCCCCCCAGCCACAGCCTACCTGCTGAGGGGGACCCCTGCACCCACCAGGCAAGGCGTGGGACATGGCTGGGGGGGCAGGATGGGATGTGTGGGACAGGGGAGTTCAAAGGGCCCAATAGGGGATCTCAGGAAGGCCAGGGATGCCAATCTGTCACTCAGCTTAGGGAGACTTGGGGTCCAGAGAGGGCAGTACAGAATTGCTGTCGGGGTAAGCAGGCAGGCCAAAGCTTCTGGGGGCCAGATAGGAAGTGAGTAACGGCTGTGTCCCAGGGGAAGTAGGGAAATAGTTGGGAAGTCTGGGATATGGAACATGTTTCTTGCCATTCAGGTTGTGCTGTGATCCTTGGTGTTTCTCACTGTAGGTACTGGTGAGGTTTGTCCAATGGCGGCGGCAGCAGCGGCGGCGGCGGCGGCGGCAGCAGTGGCAGCCCCTCCTACAGCTGTGGGCTCCCTCTCTGGGGCAGAGGGGGTACCAGTGAGCTCTCAGCCACTTCCCTCCCAGCCCTGGTGAGCTCCAGGTTGATGGGGAAGAGGGGAAGAGTGGAGGAAAGCTCTTCTTGGTACAGTCTCCTCTTCCCACCAACTCACTGCTCTCCATCAGCCACGGAGCCTCCAGACAGAGGAGGAAGAAGGAATTCACTAGGTTTTAACAATGTTTCTCCTGCTCCTTTCTTCTCCCTATCAGAGCTGACCCTACAAACACCTGTCCCCTAAGTTGTGTTGAAGTCCCTTGGACAGTGAGCAGGGGTGGCAGAGGACAGCAGCAGCCACTGCCCTCAACCTTTAACCCTTGCCTTTCCTCCCAGGGATTTGTGAGCCTTTCCCTAGAAGGTCCTGTGCTCTCCTCCTTGAGTCCCCTCTCCTACTGTCTGCTGCCCCTTCCTGGGGAGTTGGTGCTTTCTTTTTTTGTTGTTGTTTTTTCCCAGGGGGAGGGAGGAGAGAGAGGAGGGGGATTAAGATTCTGTCCCAAAGGGAAGGATACAGTGGTATTGAGGGGCAGAACCAGGGAAGGCAGAGGGATACTTTCAGCAAGGTGGAGTGACTAAACCCTAACATCTACTGTAGTATCTCCAGGGAAAAGCCAAGGGGAGCATCAGAAGGAGCCACTAGGGCCAGAGGCAGAACAAGAGAGATGGAATCTTAGGGGGCCAGGGTAAAGGAGGAGAGCCAGGGACAAGAGGTGCTTCCTGGGGGTGGGGGAATGCAGCCACGGTGTCTCCCCCTTCCCTCTTCCACCCCAGCTCCAGCCCTGGTCTTTTCTCCTCTTTCCCACAACAGAAGCTGTGGCCCTGGCCATGTCATCGTGTTCCTGTGTCCCTTGCATGTTTCCCTCCTTCCCCTCCCTCCTTTTGCGCAGACCCCATTACAATAAATTTTAAATAAAAATTTGTCTCTGGGTTCCTAAGTTATCTTCCCCGTGCCCCCATCGTATGTGCACCTCACCCCTGTAGGGAGAAGAGGGAGCTCTTTGCTGGCCTTCATCTTTTCTCAACTTTTCTTGCCCTGCAAAATGCTGACTCCCCTCCTGAGGTACAGTCTCTAGATAGCACCGATTTAGGGTGAACCCAAGAATCCTGAGGCTGTGGGGAGCAATTTCCAGGTCTCTAGGGAATACCCACTGGAGATTTCTGATGCCCAAGCTGGCTATTCATGCTATCCTCCCTTCCAAAACCCAGCAGCAGGCTGTATAGAGCCCTGCCAAATGCCTGCACGTTTAGATCCCAGAGGCCATGGTTGGCGCAGGTGCAGAAGCCATTGGGTAAACTATTCAGTTCTACCACGGTGGTCGTGGACTGCTTGCCCTACCCATTCCAGTGTGGCCCAGCGCATCTGCCTAGCTTGCTGGAATTTTTGGGTTTTGCTCAGACCTTTCCATAAACCCTCCCTTAAGCTTTCCATCAGGCATTGCTGTTGCTTTCCTCAAGTAGCAAGGCTTTTAGTTCTGCAGGCTCCCCTCTCTTGAAACCCGACGCGGTACCCCTGCAGCCGCCCCAGACTTAGAGCTGTCTCCTTAACCCATCTTTGCTGCTCAGGGTGCCTCCTCCCAGTCCACTGGTCGGCCTCCTCACAAACCCAGGTCTCTGCCAGGATCCCCCGGTGACCGTTGGCGGGAGGGGCCGAGGACTTGGGAAGGGGGTGCCCCACCAGGAGATGCGCGTGAGAAAGGGCAGGGAGGGGGCTCGAGTGGTCCCCGGGCTGGTTACCCAGGTAACACGGAGCTGGCACGAGGCTCCCTTGTGCTGTCCGGGAGGGGCAGGAGGCGTGCTAGGGGCGGGGGCGGCGCGGCAGCAGTGCAGCTTAGGGGAGGGGACCAGAGAAGAAGGGCCGAGCAAACCCGGAGGAGAGAGGAGGGGAGATCCGCCACCTCCCTTCATTGCTCACAGACTTGTTCCCTCCCGGTCTGCGGCTGCTGCAGCAGCAGTGGCGGCGGGACGCAGGAGCAGTCCCGAGGCTGGCAGCGGATGAGACTGGGACGAACTGAGGCCGCTGGTAGGAGTGGACGACAGACAGCTGGGTGGCATGGGAATGCAGGTGCCAGGCGAACTAGAGGGTGGTGCTGGGTGCGCCATGCCATCGGGAGAAGATCCCCTCCCCCTCGGCCTCTCTGAAGGCAGCAAGGGAACCCCTAAAAGGAGGGCTGAGAAGGGACGGACAAGATGCTAGGTCTCTCTAGAAAGGGGCGGGGAGGAGGGGGGGCTATTTGAGCCCAAATGCGCAGCAGGAAAACCCCGCACTGCTCAGGTGGCGCCCAGAAAAGAGGGAAGGGCACAAAAGGAACAGAATGTGTGGGGTTCGCTGTCTGTCTGCCTGTTGGAGTGTCGGTTATATGCACAGATTTTGATGAGCTGGGGTACCTTCGGGGTGGGATTGGAGAGTCTGGGTCTTGTTGACTGTGTTGGATGGATTCAGGAACAGACCTAGGGCGGTTCTGTTTAAAAGGGGATTGTCTTCCCGGGACTCTCCAAGCAGACTTTTGGTAGAACACTTCTCCACCAAGGGTGTCCCACCTCAAAGCAAAGGGAACTCCAACTTTTCCTCCTCTCCCTAGGGACAGTACAGGCTAGCCTTGGCCCTTGGTGATGAGAGCCCTCTTCTTCCTCACCAAACCTGTCTCCTCCTCTTCCAGGATTTGCCACTGTCACTGCTGTTTCCTCTTCCCCACGGGCCCTCTCCTATCTCCCTTCTCTAAGATGGCAGCCAGCAGCTCTGAGGTCCCTGAAATGAAGGGGGTAGAAGATAGTTCCAAGACCCAGAGAGAAGGACCTGACCATTCTGAAACTGGACTAGGTCCTGCCCAGGTTGTAGCAGAGATTCCAGACCAGCCAGAGGCCCTTCAGCCAGGCCCAGGTATCACTGCAGCCCCTGTGGACTCAGGGCCTAAGGCTGAGCTGGCCCCAGAAACCACAGAGACCCCAGTTGAGGCCCCCGAAACAGCCCAGGCCACAGACCTCAGCTTAAACCCAGGAGAAGAATCCAAGCCCAGCCCCAGCCCCAGCCCCAGCCCCAGCGAGGCATGCCAAGAGCCAGCACCCAAACCAGATGCAAGGAAAGAAGCCGCAGCAGAGCAGGAGTCTGAGCCACAGTCTGCAGCCCCTCCTGAGTCAGTCTCAGAGCCTGCTTTCCAGTCAGACCCTCAGCCAGCTCCCCAGCCTTCTCCTAAACTACCCCTTCAGCCAGAGGCCCCCACCCAAGAGGACTCTACCCCTGAGATCCTGACAGAAAGTATAGGGGAAAAGCAAGAAAATGGAGCAGTGGTTCCCCTTCAGGCTGGTGATGGGGAAGAGGGTCCAGCCCCCGAGCCTCACTCGCCACCCTCAACTAAAACACCACCAGCCAATGGGGCTCCCCCTCGTGTGCTGCAGAAGCTGGTCGAGGAGGACAGAATAGGAAGGGCTCATAGTGGGCACCCAGGATCTCCACGAGGTAGCCTGAGCCGCCATCCCAGCTCCCAGCTGGCAGGGCCTGGGGTGGAAGGGGGTGATGGCACCCAGAAACCCCGGGACTACATCATCCTTGCCATCCTGTCCTGCTTCTGCCCCATGTGGCCTGTCAACATTGTGGCCTTCGCTTATGCCGTCATGGTGAGCTCCAAGGGACCCTGTCCCCAGGGATACTGTGGCTCCCAACTTCCTGCCAGTGCCAGAAGAGAGCCCCAATAATGACACCTTCCCTCACCTCTCTGCATGGATCCCACTTTCCCAGTTTCTGGGCCTTTGCTTGCCTCTCCTCAGGACCTAACCTTCCAATCCTGTCCTGCTCTGCCCCTTCAAGCGAGGGAGGGGGGACTAGAAAGATGTTTCCTATAACCTTGCTGACCTGTGCCCTCTTCCTCCTGCATTCCCAATCCTTCCTTTCTTCACCCCACGGGGCTGACCTCCTTCCTCTGGACTCTCACCTGATCCCTGCTGGGCGGGCTCCTGCTGACCTGGGCCATGATACCTCCAAACCCCTCACCCTCACCCTAGTCCCGGAACAGCCTGCAACAGGGGGACGTGGATGGGGCTCAACGTCTGGGCCGAGTAGCCAAGCTCTTAAGCATCGTGGCGCTGGTGGGGGGGGTCCTCATCATCATCGCCTCCTGCGTCATCAACTTGGGCGGTGAGTGGGGGTCGGGGACAGGAAAGGGAGGAGTGGAAGGGCTGACAAGGGCAGCTTTACTAACCCCTGGCCCTGCTCTCTCTATTCCTTTGTCTCTTCCTGTCTCTTTCCCTGTCTGTCTTTCCCTCTCCTCTCCCACAGTGTATAAGTGAGGGGCTCTGCCCTGCCTTCCAAGACTTTTCTTCCTGTTGGGAGCTGTCTTGGGTCCATCCCTACTCTGGGGGATGCCCAGTCCATGGCCCTGGCCCCCATCCCTAGGGACCAAGGGAGCCTGAGCAGCCTTGTTTACAGCTTATGTCCTGCTCCTGCATCCTGCCAGGCTCCACTGCCAGCCATTGGCTCCCTTTCTCCCTGCACTTTTGCCTGCGGATCTCCCCTCCTGCCTCTTGGCCTCCCTAACCCTGCACTCTGAAAAACCTCTCTGCACTTCTGGAAGCCTCCTGAACATCCAAATTGTACTCTGCACCTCTGCATCCCCCCCTCCCCTCAACACTTGTTCCTGCCTCTGGAACCCTCTGCACCGTAATTAACCTTGACCTCCTAACTTTCATTGTCTTGGTATCTAACCCATTCTTCCCTTCCCTTCCTTAACACCTTTTCCCCTTGCCACATCCCCTGACCCCTTCTGCCTTCTCATCTTTCCATCTTCAACCCTCCTGCCACCATTTAGTCTGCAAAAACTGCAGTACTTAGGTCAGGCTGAGGGAGGAAGGATGGTGTGGGAAGTGGACTGCCTAACTAGGGGCTCTGACTGTTCTCTGCTGGGGACCACCCGGGCCCAGACCATACATACCCAGATCCCAATCCCCAAGGTGCCTATTGGGTCGCAAAGTTGGCCAGCCAGGCCTCTCCTGGGGGACTTGCACCAGAGTGGAAGTCCTTATTCTGAACATCCAGGGGAGAAAGGAGTGCCGCAGCGGCTAAAGGGTCAGCCTGAGTTGACCTGCCCATTTGGGCTTAATTATAACCTCAGAGTTTCTTGTTTGAAGGTCTGAGGGGTTTGGGCCATTCACTTGCTTTGTAAACAGGCATATTTAAAAAGAAAAAGAAAAGGACCAAAGTTCCCAGCTACAGGGAGCGAGGGAGGGGTGGAGGAGCTCTGTGATTATTCTAAGAGAATGAGGGAGGTTTGTTGCACGTGACAGCCCTCTGAGGAGGCAGGGAGCCAGCTGCGATGCATTTCGGAGTTGGTGGGTTTTTTTTTGTTTCTTTAAAAAAAAAAGTTGGGGGAAACTAAAATTCCTTTTAAAAACAATTAAACTGAGTCTCCCTTTTTGTATGCTGAATGCTGCATGAGTTTTAAAACCAATAAACAGAGAATGCATGAGACTCGCCTCAGTTGGTCCCTGTGTTCGTTTGCAGAGTCAAGGCACTGCTTTCTGGCAGGCCCTAGTGAACGAAATACGCATGCGCTGCCGCAGTGGCCATCTTTAGTGTGGGCCGAAGCTAGTGATGCCTACGGGCCTACCGCACATGCGCAAGCTTTCTCTTTCCTCTTTCGAGTAGCTTTGAGTGGAGTCTCCGCGCGCCATTTCTCTGCGCCTGCGTGCTGCGACCCTGCGCAGCCTGGGAGGCGGGTTTTAGCTCCAGGTTTGTACGGCCGCGGAGTTGACGCGAACTAGGTCTGCGAGGTCCAAGGAAATGACTCCCGTCCCGGTGTTGGAGAGGGCGATGTGAAAGCGAGAAAACAGGCACTTCCCTTTCCAGCTCCGAGCGTGGTTTCTGCGGGTCCCCGGGAACGGCAGGATTCTGGATTTGGATCCGTGGGGTGGGGTCTGCCCTTGCCGGGATCTGAGCGCCCCCTCCTGGGGACGGTGCTCTGGCCGCAGTCAGTGTTGGACTGACTGCTTGCAGATTTCGTAAAACCCGGTGGGATCGCAATCCTTTTGGGGAGGCACCCTGGTTTGGTACTCCAGACTCTCCTATATTGCTGGGCTTCCCTAGTGCTCTATGTCCTTGGGCCATGGAACCATTGCAGGCAGCACAGCGGCGCCTCTGTCTGAAGAAGGGGAAGTGACTTCCGGCCTCCAGGCTCTGGCGGTGGAGGACACCGGAGGTCCCTCCGTCTCGGCTAGTAAGGCCGAGGAAGAGGAGCAAGGAGGTCAGGAGGAGGCCGGGCGTGAGGGATCCAGGGCTGAGGAGGCACTAGAAGCCCCCAGCGCTGCGGACGACGAGCGCGCCGAGGGAGAATCCGAAGACTGGTGCGTGCCCTGCAGCGATGAGGAGGTGGAGCTGCCGGCCAATGGGCAGTCCTGGATGCCCCCACCCTCCGAAATCCAGCGACTCTACGAACTGCTGGCAGCCCAAGGTACTCTGGAGCTTCAAGCGGAGATCCTGCCCCGCCGGCCCCCTACTCCTGAAGCCCAGAGTGAAGAGGAGAGATCAGATGAGGAGCCGGAGGCCAAAGAGGAGGAGGAGGAAAAGTGAGGCCATAACTTTAAACGCTGTCCCTGGGACCACTCTCCTAAGCACAGAAACTGGAGGGAGGGGAGAGCGGGAAAGGACGAGCCCTCAGGCGGGGGTGTACCTAAAGGTGTTTGGGAGGGCCACCCTCACCCTCGTTCTCTGTTCACCGTCTCAGGCCGCACATGCCTACAGAATTTGACTTTGACGATGAGCCCATGACACCGAAGGACTCCCTGATTGACAGGAGACGCACGCCAGGTACGAGTAAGAGGGGAGAATTGAGGGGAGGTAAGGGGCTTCTGCGTACCCCAGAGTGGTACACCAGCTGCAGGAAGGAGCAGACAGGGTGGCAGGGTCGCTGGCTTAGTCAGTGCTTACTTCCCTGGAAGAGACCCACAGACCTTCCCACCAGATTTTCTGTTCCTTTCGTCTTCCCAGAAATCCAGAGTCCCCTGGTCATTATTCTCCAGAACACAATTATGTAGTGCTGTGTCCAGCACCAGCACTGACCCACTATCCCGCCCACGTGCCTTCCTAGAATTTACTCTCAGAGTCATTGGTCCAGCCAGCGGCAAGTTCCATTAGCTTCAGTCTCCCCGCTTCTGGTCTCAGCTGCCAGAGTAGTCCCTTTAGGTGATGTCCTGTCTTTCTCTGCTTATAGTTCTCCAGACGATTCCATTGTAGGGAGGACGAGCATGTCCAGGGAGAGTCTGTCCACTCTCTCCACCCCAGTGCCCCAGGACCTTTGCACACACACCCCAGCCACCCCTGCTAGGTATGTCCCCTAGGCATCGCATTATGGGGGTCAGTCATCCTGTGTTTAGCCCAGCCTGAAGCATTAGCTCTTCTGCGCTGAGGCCTAACATGAATGCCCAACAAAGTCTCTACTAGTGGGGGCAGGGAGGTGCTCACTGCCTCAGTCCTCTCCCGTTTTCCTACCTTCTTAGGGAGCACGGCCCGGAGCCAAAAACGCGAGGCCCGCCTGGATAAGGTCCTCTCGGACATGAAGCGGCATAAGAAACTAGAGGAACAGATCCTTCGGACTGGGAGAGACCTCTTCAGCCTAGACTCAGAGGGTCCCGGCCCTGCCAGCCCTCCACTCCGATCCTCAGGGAGCAGCAGTCTCTTCCCCAGGCAGCGAAAGTACTGACTGTTGCTGCCATGGCCTGCAGGTGCAGACCTTTGCTGCTGGGTGTGGCCAGCCTTTCCCAGCTCAGACTCGGGAAACTTGTCACAGAGGAAAGCCTCAAGCTCCCAGTGCAGTGCCTTGTGGGAGAGTGTGCTCTGTTGAATGTCTCCCTGCAGTTCTAAGCTGGGTTTGCTGAGTCTTAATAAAAGATACAGATTGGTCTTTTCTTAGCAGAGACTTCCACTGGACCCAGGCAATTGTTCTCACTTGGGCGGAAACAGCTGTATTCCTCCACACTGGGAAATTGAAGCCAGATAGGGCAACAGTGTACCCAGCCATCACCGTAGCGACCTCCGCTTAGGTCCTCTGAGCCTTCTTAGTCTCAGTCCAGCCCCACCAGATGGTACTGAGGCAGAAAGTGCTGCTGAGTATGGACCCAGCCCTAGTGTCTTCAGAAGCAGCCTGGTGGGGGAAAAGATCCAGTTGCAGGGCCCTTTAAATCTAAGCTCCACCCCTGCCTGTCCAGCCCTATGGGGAAGTCATCCCCAGAGTTGGTGAGGGAAATTCCAGCGGCCAGCAGCCAGCTAGCTACACAGCTAAATGTGAGTACGGGATTGCCCCCCGGGCCAGACCCCCAGACTACAACCCCTGAGGAGATGTTTGGCCCATGGTTCTCTAAAGATCCTGCTCTCCAGTGCCTTGGGGTGGGGGCAGAACCCCTTAGTTACAAAGGGCAGGAAGGAGGGCGTTGGCAGCTCTGCCTTGGGAGGTTTCACTTTCTAGTAGTGTTCTGGGTTTTGAAACGCCCTGCCAATATCATCCCCCCCAAACCTTAAGCCTCTGATTGGAGGTGAGGGGTACTTGGTCAGGCCCAGCTGCAGACATTATTAGCAACCTACTCAGGAGGCTGAAGCAGAAGGATGCCTTGAGGCCGGAAGCTCTTAAGCCTCATGTGGGAGCCCCCCCCCCTTCTTGTTTCTGGTTTATGTCGTTGGCTTTTATTTTTATGAAAAAGGGTCTCCTGTTTCCTAAGTGGTCCTGAACTCTCTCTGTAGCCCAGGATGACCTTGAACATCTGATCCTCTTGCCTCCACCTCTTGAGTGAATGCTGACAGAGATGTCTGCTACCGCTATCAGTTTTGTTCAGTGCTGGGCCTCAGACCTAGGCCTTCATGCATTTTAGGCAAGGACTCTACAAACTGGTGGATGGGGTGTAACTCAGTTTCACTACATAACTACATACCCAAGACCCTGTTTTTAGCCCCAAGCACACTTTTTTCTTAAAAAAGGAAAAAGAAAGGAAGAAAGAGAAAGAAAGAAAGAAAGAAAGAAAGAAAGAAAGAAAGAAAGAAAGAAAGAAAGCAAGCAGATAGGGGAACCTTGCCAGACACAGTTGACGCCTCTAATCCCAGCACTTCAGTTGCTGAAGTGAGGGTCTCCAGAGGTTTGTGGCCAGCCTGAGCTACAATGTAAGATCCTGTCTCAAATAACAAAAGCCAATTAGAAAAAGTTACAGCTTCCATTCAGACTCCATCTTTGATCTTACTTCCCTGCCCTCACTCCCTGAGGACCCAGGCTCTGCTTTCTCTTCTTGAATGACTGGCATGTGACTTGACCCCCTCGGTTCCCTTTTCTACCAGTTGTAGAAGCTTTCCTGCTGCCCTGTGCAGGGCTGTGCCAACAGAACCGGCCTTGGCCAGTCACTTGAGCACTGGCTAGCAGGGCGATCAGAAGGTTGGCTTTGATTTCCAGAAGGCGCAGAGTTTAGTGAGAACAAGCGTCTCTGGGAAAGAGAAAGTGAGAACAGTAAGCTCAGACAACCAGCCTGTGATTCTGGGGCCTTGGGATCTCTGATAGGAGATGGTAATTGAGGCAGCTAGCTGTTCTCAGCTTCCTACCTGAGGACCCTTGGGGCAGAGAAGAGGGCTGGCCATCACAGGAGCACTGGCTGGCTCTCCCGGAAACTGTCTTCTTATGCCTTTGGTATATATCTACCCTGCCCTGAGGTGGGGCCGTTGGGCAGGACAGCTATTACCTTGTGTGCCTAGGTGCTGGTTGCTCAGTCCTCCTGTGGTGATTGCCCCACTCCCAGCTTCTCGTGTAGCCAGGGTTGGTCACTAGTTCAGGCTATGGAAAATGCTTTTACCTTTGAATGTCTATTGGTGTTGTTTCCTGAACAGCAACAACCCCACCCATATTCTCTGTGTCCCATGGCTTCACAAGCCATATTGCCTCTAGTGATGGTGACACAGACGCCTGGTCAACCTTCCAGAGCAGAATGACTGAATTAGACCCTGATGGCTCAGGTTACAATGAGTCAATCAAAGATACTTAACCCTTGGTGGGTTGGGTTACTTCAAGTAGGAGTTGGTTATGCCTCAGATCCAAGTTCCAGTAAAGCCTGGGAGACAGTGTGGATAGGCTTAAATGTCAGCCAGAAGCCAGATATGGGGGAGCATGTGAACCCCTAGTCTCATCTACTTGGGAAACAAAGGTGTGAAGATTGTTTTATCCCAAGTTCAAGGTCAGCCTACCAGCAAAATAAGACTCTTAAACAGAGTATGTGTGTTGGCGAGGGGGGGGGGGCGGTGGCTAGAGAGATGGCTCTGAGGTTAGGAACACTGCTCTTCCAGAGGTCCTGAGTTTAATTCTCAGCATCCACATGGTGGCTCACAATTGCTTTAACTCTGAGGGATTGGATGCCCTCTTCTGACTTCCACGAGCCACCTGCTCCTCATATGTACACTCACAGACTGAAAAGTTAAAAAGAAAAAAAGAAGAAAGTCCCAG